ATTTACAAACAGGGCCTATTTTGTGCAGGTCCCAGTCCTAAATCTTAAAATGCCTTTTACTTAGACACACTGAGGCCTCAACACCTGTTGTTGCTGGTGGACCCTTCCTCAGTGATATAGACCACCCCCCTCCTATTTTTTTCACCAATTTCTCAGGTAACCCTGGTCAAGACTGACAGATACATTTTGTCTTCTCACTTTGTTTATACTTTTTCAGGAGACATAAAAGCCTTTCTCATACTTGCTAAAGTTCTGTTACAGCAAATCATTCCAAGGACTACAACCAGGATACAGCGACCCATGCCCAAATCAAAGTTGCTGGACTGCCATCCTGGTTTCACATCGCTCAGGCTAAGAGGTGCCCTTCCAGCCCTAAATCTGATCATTCTGAGTTGTCATCTCATCTTCTGTTGCCTACCCGTCTCCATCTCACAAAGGCCTCACAGCCACAGTTAACAGGCTAAGTCATATTTTGTTATCCAATTTGGTTCCTAATTTCTTACATTCTATTAATGATCATTTTTACAGCAGGACTCTTTAACAGTATTGCCTACAGACTCCAACATCATGCATACCAGAGACAAGCCTTACCAACCTACTGTCTTAACTTTTATGCTTTCAGATGGGGGAGTAATCACCTCTCATAACTCTCAACTCCACTCCTCCTAACCCCACGTTTAATTTTCAGAATTCTGCCTCACTGTGGAAATGTTTCTACCTCAACATGGTCCTGATAGAATGATATGTCTAAATCAAACGCACCTTTCCTTCTACCTCACCTGGGTCCTTAAATATGACAGTGCCATGTCTCCTCATAACATCTTGTCTCTTTGTTTTTCCAGTCTGACATACGTGCATTCACCAGTGAAGCTGTCCTGGCCAAAACACCTGGCACCAGCGTCTACCTGGGCATCAGCCTTCATCCCGTCGACTCCCCTAGGCTCCAGTACAGCGCCCTTTGCCAGCAGGAAGTAGTTAAAGAGAGAAATCTTCGCCCCTTTTCATAATAATAACCATAAGACGGGATATGAAAGGTTTGGCCCAGACAGGACACTGTAGCCAGGAAAGCCACAACCGGAAGCAGGAAGCCCCATCTTGCCCTGCCCCTAGGAAGTTACCTGTGATGCCATCTTCCCGCCCCTGGGAATTTACATATGGCGCCAAACCTAGGACCAATGGGCTACCTGTGTATCCCTAATGCCCGCCTTAGGTTCCACCCCAAACCGAGGCTATTTACAGGCCCCCACGCCGCGTGTCCGCCGGAGAGATCGCCGGACGCCAGCGGTGGGGTTGCCGGTCATCTCTCTCCGTGTTCTCAGAATAAAGGCCGCTTTTTATTTTATATTTCTCATCTTTTGTTAATATTTTTCATCTTTTGGAAACAACTCTATCACCTGCAAAAAGAGAACTACAGGCCAGTCTCTTTAGTAAACACAGATGCAAAAATATTCAATAAGGCACTGGCAAGGAGAATGCAAGAAATCAATAAAAGGTGATGCATCTTGAACAAGTAGGACTCATCTCAAGTATATGGACAGTTCAACATGTGCAATCAATAAATGTAATACATCACAAAAGTAGAAGCAAGGACAAAAACCTCATGATCATCGAACAGAAGAAGAAAAAGCATTTGCAAGTCCAACACCCATTCATGATAGGAATCATGAAAATGGTTCTTTATCTCAATCTGAGTTTTGCAAACCTACTACAAAAATATTAAATGGGGAAAAACTGAAAACTTTTCCTCTAAAATCAGGAACAGGATAAAGATGTTCAATACTGTTCTCCAAACATTAGCCAAAGCAATTAGGAAGGAGAAAAAATAAATAAATAAAAGGGACAATTATAGGAAAGGAAGAAGTAAAATTATCAGTATTTATAGATGACAAGATTGTTTACATAGACAAGATCAGGTGTGTTCAGGGTGATATGGCCATAGACAAGATTGTCTACATAGAAAATCCCAAAATTCAAAAAAAAAAAAAAAAAAGACTCTTGCAATTAATAACCAAATTCAGAAGTACAGCAGGACACAAAATGTAATAGTGGTTCTGTATACCAATAGTGAACTGATTAATAAATTAGGAAATAACCATTCACATTAGCATTAAGAAAAATTAAATATTTGGGAGCTAATCTAACCCAAAAAGTAGAAGACCTCTAGAATGAAAACTATAGCCCTGTGAAAAAAAGAGATCAAACACAGCATCAGATTTAAAACAATCCCAATGAAAATGTCTAAAGCCTAGCTTAATACCCATGATAAGCACTCAGTCAGAGCAACTGTCTTAAGGCACCCTGGGCTAATCAAAGACAACTTTAACTAGCTTACCCTGAAAGATCCCTCTACCCATATTCCCAGAATGTTTCTATACTATGCTCACCCTAAAAGGACCCTCTCTCTTTGTTCCCTGAATGTTTCTGTATTATGATAAACAATTTCTTTGTTCCAAACTTACTGTCAACATATGACTCAACCGCAGGTAACCAGCTATGTAATGTTTTGTCACTTGCTCTGTATTTCCCACTTCTAACTGCTATATAAACTAAGCTCTTTGTAAATTTAGGGTTGTTGCCTTTGGGATTGTCCTGCAGCAGTCTGCTGGTATGAAAATTAAATGCTGCCTTCTTATTTCTTATCTCTTTGGTGTGAAGAGTCTTTCTTTCGGTTTAATGAGCATTTTCCTGAAATAAAACAACCCCATGGGTTCAGTCACTTTATCATCTGGTGATGAAACCCCATTCAGCTATTTTATACTTGGTAAAGAGGCAAAAGCATGCTGGAGGAAAGATAGTCTCCCGGCAAATGATTATGGGGAAACTGGCAGAAGATTGCAGCTACACTCACATCTCTCACCATGTACTAAACTAAAATCAAAATGGACTACAGACGTAAATATTAAAATTGAAAACACTTAAAATGTGAGATTAAATAGGCAAAACTCTTGAACACGAAGTTGTTTGCAAGGACTTCCTTTTTGTTTTATTTTGTTTTTTGAGACAGGATCTCACTTTGTAGTCCAAGCGGGCCTGGAACTCAATATGTAGTCCAGGTTGGCCTTAAACTCATAGCACTCCTCCTGCCTCAGTCTCCTGAGTGCTGGAATTACAGGCATGTGCTACCATGCCCAGATGTTAGCAAGGATTTTAAAAAGAAAACCACAATTGCACAAGTAGCATGAATAATCAACAAGTGGGTTCATACTGAATAAAAACTTCCTGTACTGCAAAGAAGACCAAGAGATTAAAGAGACAATTTACATAATGATAATTTTTGTCAGCTATTTCTCAGAGGTCAAATACCTACAAAATACAAAGAACTGAAAAAAACTTAAGACCCCCTCCTATCCGATACAAGTAAATTCAAGAAAAAAGGTTCAATGTCTTGGAAATGGAAATTAAAACAATAACCAATATGACAACTTTCACTAGCATAGTGATTATCATTAAGAAATAAATAACAAATGCTGGTGAGGCTATGGAAGGAAAGGAACCCTTTTCCATTTTTGGTGGGAATGTAAACTAGTACAAACATTATGGAAATCAGTATTGAATTACCTCAAACACCAAAACTAGAAATTTCACACAACCCAGCTAAGCCCTTTATATGTTTTTTTCCCGACAAAAAAAAAAAAAAGACATCCTATTACAGTGATACATTCATAGCCATGTTTGTAACAGTACAAATCATTATTGCTAAATCTTGAAAGTGGCCTATATATCAACAGATCAATGGATAAAGGAAATTTATATTCATACGCAAATTTATATTCCATAAAGGATAACTTTAAGCTATTTTTTATGCACCTTGAGACCATATTATTACGTGAAATACATCAGATACATAAGCTTAAATATTAATTGATTTCTCTTATACAAGATAACCGAAATACTAAATAAAATTGAAAAGCATGTTTAAGAAAGATGGATAATAGGAAGCATAAATCTTTTGTGAAAGGGAAGGGAACTATACATGGTAGCTGAGGGGACTAGAGAGGGGAAAGAAGTGAATGAAAAAAATTAAGAATTATTATGCACATGTACCAGTCCCAATAAAGAATGTAATCATTATGTACTACAAATATAAACCAATAAAAATAAAAATTAGAAAAAGTAAAACTATACATAGGATTAATGACTCAGAGTAGGTTTTTTAAAAGGAGAAACATGATTGATAAACTCTTCTCAAAACTTACCAAAAGTAAAGAAAGACCCCTATCGATGCAGTTAGGAATGAAAAAAGTGAATTCACAATGAACACTGCTGAAATTCTAAGGATTATAAGAAACTATTTCAAAAATGTGTATTCCAAGAAATTGGAGAACCTAGAAGTAATGGAGAAACTGCTAGTCACATAAATTATCAAAACTGAAAGAAGATATAAAAACCTGAACAGACCAGTAACTGCAATGAAGTCGTGGCTATAGTAAAGTAAAACCCTAGCAAGAAAAGCCCAGGACCTGACAGAGTCACTGCAGAATGCTTCAAGAATTTCAGTAAAGGTCTAACGTCAGTATTCCTTAAACTCTTCCATAAAACTGAAAACTCTTGCCCAGAAATTAGTATTACCCTGGTACCAAAACTGGATATATATATATATTTAACGTATACATTCACGTATTTAATGCATGAATTTAAAAAAAGATTATTTTCAACAGAGTGCATAACTCATCTAGTGACAGAAGCTGTAGAATGAAGTACAGTCGTATTTTTAATAGAAATTAGAAAGATTGAAAACAACCACCTTAGGTATAGTATGCTTTTATAGGGCATTTGATTAAGCAATGGAACAAAGCATAAAGGACAGGGGAAGGAGGGAGAGGGAAAATTAAGACACCCACCGTTTTCAACTAGTCAGGGAGCCCCGCCTATTCCGCGAGCCTCGCCCCCACCTTACGGTACAAACACAGACCCTATTCCCCCACTCGCCAGTCATAAGGCCCGCCCACTGGACTTAAGGCTCTCTGTGGCTGCACCCTCCAGGCCGTTTTGGACCTCACCGTCACTTTAGTTCCTGGAGAGGGAAACTAGAATTTCTTTTCAAAGACTGGACGTGGAAGGGTTCAGGGTTTACCCGGCTGCCACAGGAGCCCTTCGGTCCCGAGAGCCGGAGTTCTAGCCGCTTCCGCTCCCAGCGGCCCCCGAGGCAGACAGCGGAAGTGCGCGCGGGGGGCGGGACTGCGCGACTCCTGGCGGTGGGGGTGTGTCGCGGTCTGTAGGTGAGAGGTATCTCTGAGGAGGGCGCGGAGCGCTGGGAAGGTTTTAGGGGAGGGTCGGAACCAAGGACTGCCTAGGCCTAAGCTGAGGTGCTGTTCTCGTTCCGGGGTGCGGCATGTGCAGCTCGACTTCGCCTCCGGGCGCCTCGGTATCCTAGTCTTGTGTGTTAGCACTGCCATCCTGTGGGAAAGGACGCCTCAACCAAAGTCCAACCCAGGGTCCCCAGTTCAGTCCTCGCCTGTGCTCCCTGATGTGTGGGGGAAAAAAACAAAACAAAACAAAAAACCGCTTTGGGGGGTCCTACCTTGCCTCTTATGCGAGATGACTGGATAAGTGTTTGCTGTTTTATTCCACGTGGTGTTTATTATTACCTAGCTTTGCAGCTTAAAAATTAGGATAGGGTGTACATGTACGAGTTGATTTGAGTGACTTTGTCAAGTTTATTTTTAAAATTGAAGGAATGAACTAGATGATCTGATACAGCTATATCTGTATCCACTTGACTTTTTTCTTCCTTTTTTTTTTGTGACTGGCAATTTGCGATCCATATAAGATTAAGCTGTTAGCTTCTCTTTGCTTCTGTTCCTTTTTCTCATTTTTTTTTTTAATGAAAAATGAACTTTTACTTTGGCTATGGGCATCAATTTTTGCATTTTTTCTTTATTATGGTGTTAGGCAACATAATAAAATGCTGTTTCTCAGGTCACAAATGTTAATACCAAGGAAAAATAAGACTACTTAATTCTTGCCACTCCGGGCCGCACCCCAAACTTGTAAGTCACAGATCTTCAAAACATATGGGACTTGTGCTGGGGATTTAACTCAGAGGCACAGTGCCTGCCTGGCAAGTGCGAGGTCCTGAATTCGATTCCTGGCACCCCTTAAAAAAAAAAAAAAAATATATATATATATATATATATATATATATATGAAAAGGGTGATGATATATATTTTCAAAGTACCAGAAATGGCATGTCCTTTTTAATAATGAGTTACAGTTCATTCCCACTGAAACATGAGGAGAAATTACCTCTGGAGGAAAGTTAAAAATCAGCTTTCAGTGTGTATGGGTGTATGCTTTGTTTGATTTGTTGTACTGAATCATTCATGAGCATTGTTGATTTTGGGGCACATTTTCATTGGGATGCCTTCAATCACCTGGGCCCTAAATGAGGGAAACAGTAAAGCCCTTGCTCCTGTGGAGCTTTCCTTCTAGCTAAAAGAAGGATTTTATATTAATAGTGACAGGGTGATATGAGATTATGGATCAGGACAAATTGAGGAGGTCAAGGAAAATATCTGAAAAGAGACAAATGTTTGAACCTAAAGAGAGTTCTGTGTAGCTAACCAAGGGGTTTGGCTATCCAGTAGGAGAGTGAGTGAGATTTGAGAACATTTTTCTTGTGCATGTATTTTATATGTACCCTCAGGCAGTGCAAAGCTTGGTGTGTTCTGTTACGAGAGAAAAGACAGGGAAAGCTAATTTAGAGAAAAGAAAGCAGGAAGTGAATGAATAGGTTGGACAGAAGGGCAGAGCCCTGAAAGTCATGGTAAACTCACAGTGTATTTTATAAAGTGATTGGGAAGCCACTGTGTCATAGTTTTAAGAACAAGAGTGACATGTTTATTTTTGTAATTTAACCAAAACATTGCTCCTGGGTTGAACATAAAGTTTAGGGTGGACAAAAATGAATGCAGATCCTTATTAGAGTTGAATAGATTCAGGACTTGCATGATGATAGGCAGGTATTAATGATTACCAAATCAGAAAAGTTGGAAGTATGTGTAGACGGAGGTAGAACTGAGAGGATCTGATGCATGCATTTTTTTGTAGCAGGGAGCAGAGGTTAGCAGTTGATGGTCTATGAGACAAATTGGCTCCAATTTTGGCTTTTACACAAAATTTTATGGGAACTCATTTGTTTATGTGTAGTTTGTGGCTGTTTTTCCACAATTAAATAGAGGTGAGAGAAATCATGTGGCATGTAAATGCTAAGACATTTCTTATTTGGTCTTCTGCAGAAAACGTTTGTTGACTTAGAGTATAAAAACTGCTTAGTGTTTGTCATGTGTTGGAGTGGTTGCTGGATATTAAGTTCTGAAAAAGCTAAGCACAGGTTTACATTTACCAGATTTATATTGTAGTTGGAGAGAGCAAGATAAAGTCATCTAAAAAAAGATGAATCACAACTTTTAAATGACAGCAGAAGAAAAGTAAAAGGTGTTAAAAGTGACTTTTGCAGTACAAAAATAAAAATTGTCTTTTTATGAAGTGAGAAGAGCCAGTAGAAATCATGGGCTGGTGATCTAAAACTTGCAATCTGAATTTGAATCTGGAATTTGCAACCTGGAACTATACAGATAGAAGACATACGTGTGATGTTTATATACATGAAAAGCCATGTACCCACTGTTCCAGCCCATGAGGCTCTGGAAGATGATATCTATAAGAACCATGAGAGAAAGGAGAAGCCTCCTAACTATGCCAGGATGTGCATGTAACACTGGCCAGTATACATTCCAATTCCAGAACTATTCATGCTGTTGACTACTGTGACATAGTAAATTGGAACTTAAAAAAAAACAACATGTAAAAAAGGAGGATACTGGAAAGGAACCTGCCTTGTGGTCTGTGGCTTGAACTTTCTCCATTGGGTTGTCCTGAGACTGATGGTGATGGCCTGGACCACACTGAAGAGACAGGTGGTGCAGGTAGAAAGATCCAGGTTGTCCTTCCCAGGTAAGTCATCGTCCTAATCCTACATAACTTGAGAAGTTTTTGAAATAAACTGCTGAAATGATTCCAGTCCTTCCAACAGAAATCCTGACTACATTTGAGAAAACCAAGTGAATAAGAATGAAATCTACGGGTCTTTTTTCAGGATCTATGACAAAAGTATAGAGATAAATCTCAAATGTAAGAGTGTTGCCTATGATTCCTAGTCCCAGGAGAGGATGATTGGTTGGTGATATCATTTCAGATCATTTTATGACCTCAGTGATACAACTAGAAAAATCGTTTTAAGAGCTATGAATAAGTAAAGACAACACATTTCAGATCTGTGGGCTTTCTGTCTATTTTAAAGTCTAGAACAAATTCTGAAGTACATATATATGGATATAAATTTTAAGCTATTTCATCCACCTGCCTTTCCCAAAAGATCTTAGCATTGGACATCTGTAAGAATTTGTAGCACCATTTTATTCTGAGAAAACAGATACAAGAGGGCAACCTCAATTTTTTTTTTTGAGATGAAGTCTTGCCATGTAGTTCAGATTAGCTTTGAACTCACTATGTAGCCCAGGCCAGCCTCAAACTTATGATGATCCTGTTGCCTCAACCTCTTAACTGCTGGGATTACAGGTGTGCATATCACACCTGGCTAGAACCTCAAATTTTTAAACCATGGTATTGAGTGTGATCTTGGGTACTGTTTTTGGCAATTAATATACAGTAAATAATGTCCCTGTCATAGAAATTTATTCATAGTCTACTGAGATCCTCTATACCATCTCATATATCCTAATCCCTCAGGTGAGTAGTGAGGTAAAGAAAAAATGTAACTTCTCCAAAGAATTTTACTTGACCAAATGGAGCTTCCTAGGAGAGGTCATTTGGATTATCCCTCTCTGACCTATGAGTAGCCCTTGGTCATAAGTAACATACACTTTAATTAGGTAAAGGAGTATGAAAGTCCAGTACCCTTCTTTTTAGTAGTACTAACTCCATGGTTAGTTGTGTTTTCTCAGTTATTCATATGGGTGGGATCTTACTGAAGCTGATTTTATTTTCTTCCCATTTATCTTGTTTTTTTTACTGTCTTCTTCCTGAGAATACTTCCCTTAAAAAAAATCAGAAGTGTCTGTGGACCCCAACTACAGACTCATTACTGACTGCACCTTTTGAAGTTTATCAAATCTGTTGATAATTCTCAATTAAAAACACCTGCCTTGTAAGGACCCAAAAGAGGAGGGGACAGGGAAGAACTGACTTGCAGTCTGGTTTGAACTTTTTCCATAGGGTAGTCCTGGGACTTAACAATGATGGCTTGGAGCACTGTAATATTTCTCACTACAATATGTATAGCCACTTTGTAGATGATTTCTGTTTAATTTGTTAAGTTTTCTCATCAAAATGAACTTTGGAAACAACTGTACTCCCTGTTTCCCTTCTTCAAAATAATATTTGTTAACCTTTCCTTCCTATCAAATTTAGGGTTAAAGTATTTTCAACTCCCCCAAATAAATGTAATATGGGCACTTACCTTGTGAGAAGAATGTGCATAACATTGACAGGCTGATACGTTGTCAATTCACCATCCTTCATTCATAACCAATTCCCAGCTCTCACAAATGAGCTTAGAATTTTGTACTCTATACCTTCCCTGAACTTACCAGACTGTTGTATGTGTATCTGCTTCCTTCCTCCCCTGCATAGTGAGAGTGCCTGAGTGAAACTGTCTATCATACCTACTATTGTGTCTGCTATTAAATGCACAAAATAGTTTATGAAGGAGTAACTCTGCATTAGTCGCGAAGATGAGCTAACAAGCTAATTGGAAGAGATATTTGAATTGGCTTATGCTTAGTGATGAGGTTGAAACTGTATGTCCTGGCCAAGACAATCCACTTTGGATGATGCATTCAAGAAGCTTATTATTTTGACCTCATATGTATGGGTGAGGTGTGTCAGCCTCCTGTGGTGCTATGAAGGACACAGACCATCCTCTAGGGACACAGAGATCAGAGAGTCAAAGCAAATGATTACTGAGCAATCCCTCACATAGAAGTAGAAGCAAGTTTCAGCCTTATATGCATAAATCTCAACATAGAGACATAACCAATTTGAAAAGCCAAGGCATTGCTATTCCCTCAAAAATTAATTAATAATTAGTAATTCAATACAATTAAATAATTCAAAGTTT